ATTTATTTAGGAATTTTGTGATGATATAAACTAACTGAAGATCCTCCTTAATAGCCACTGTGGTCGATTGCACAAAATATTTCAAACCACCTCTGCTGTCCACCTGTTTCCAGCCTGCTCACTAGGGTACACTCATCCCACAACAGGATGGACTGGCTTACTTTGTTGCTAGTGGAATTCACCTCATTAGCAGTATAATCCTGTAGCTATGAACTGTAGTTATGGGAACCATGTTTTCTAACAAGTGAGATGTGTGCTCTGGCGATTATCATTATATTTAGAGACAAGGGGACACAGACTTTTGCATTTCTGGGGTTGGGTAGAGAATGGATTATAGATAGCCCCTTTCTGACAACTTCAGTCAGTTTGAATTTTACCTCAATATTCCACGCTATAGCATCAGTTCTTTCCCAAGTGCTTCTTTGGGTCTATAGGAAAAAGTACATTGTAAAAAAAAAAAAAAGTACATTGTGGTTCCTGCCCCATTAGTTTTCCTGATATGCTGTGCATGTCTGTGTGCCAGTGATGGACATAGAGTAAACCCGAGCTAACACCTCTGCTGTGGTTATTCCTAAATTACTCATTTAGGATCATTCTGTGGCTGTGTGTGTGTGTGTGTGTGTATGTGTGTGTGTGTGTGTGTGTGTGTGTGTGAGAGAGAGAGAGAGAGAGAGGTGGTAGAAATGGTTTAACCACTGAACATTTATATAGAAGTATTTTTAAAAAATATGAGTTGACTCTAGACAAATACGGTAAATCCCTAGTCATACCTCTCATCCCTACTTTCTCTCTCACCTGATGAATTTCTGCTTCTCCCAGCACCTTTACTTCTACCTATTGATCTCATCCACACCTGTTCTTTGGCTTCCTTCCTGTTCCTTTGGATGCACTGGGATGTTTCTGTCCTTTCCTTTGGCTTCCTTTTCCCTCTTCCCTGATGCAGTACTTTCCCACTTCTGTATCATCACCTTCCCTCACTCTTGGGTTGGTACCATCACCCTGCGAATATGCAATTTTTTGCTTATATTTATAAAGTCTTCCTTCTATCCTTCTCTAATTGCCCTCTCACTCTCCTTCACAACACGACCCCTTGAAATATTTGCCTATCATCAGTCCCTACTTCCTCTCTTGTCATTGTATTTTAAGCCTATTCCAATCCGGCTTTCCCCTACCCCACTCTCAACCTCCCGAAGGACCTAACGTAGTTAATTCTGTTATCCATTTTTAGTCCTTACCTTGTCTGACATATTGGGAGTATGTGACAGTGTGGAAGGTCTTCCTTCATGAAATGCTCTGTTTTAGCTCTGCACTCTTTTGAATTCTCTCCATTTCAGTCTCCTTTTTCTGACGCCTAAACCCAGAGCCCGGTGCTGTAAGCCTTCCCTGTCTAACTCTCACTTAGTGGTCTCATTTGCTTGTCTGACTTTAATGAACCCTAAATATATATCTGTAGCTTAGACTTCTCTCCTGGATGAATGACTCTTGGATCTAGCCTCAAAGGCATGTCTTGTGCTAATTGGAAAAAGCTATCCATTTCTGCAAGCACTTGACTGCCATCTTCTGGAGAGTTTTCAGAGCAAACAGATACCTTTTAGATGACACTGAATGTGAATGCCGAAGGTGAATGGTATCTCACAACTGCACAATTGTCATTAGCAGCAGAATGTTCCTCCACTTGGGAAGAAAACCCTGTTTTCATATTTTGAAGCCATCTAGGAAGAAAAGATTAAAAAAGGCATAGGATGTGACATATACACTCAGTCCTTTCTTCAAACATTCTGGGCATGTTCAGTAGGTACCAAGCCCAGCTCCTGATTCTCAATCCCCATCTCATTCTGTCCCAAATTCTTTCCTCTGTGTTTTCTATTTCAGAATTCTTCTGTAGCTGGAGTCAAACTCCTTGAAGTTATCTTTGACACCTCTCCCCACCAGCTTGAATCTATCAGCAAATCCTGTTTATCTTTCCTTCAAAATATATTAGAACTTGACGACTTCCCAGCCCCACACTGTGGCCACCCTGGTACAAGCCCCAGCATCTCTCACCTGGATGATTCCAGAACCAAGCTTCCTCTCCTCCTCTCTACTTTCTTCCTGCAGTGTAGCAGCCAGGGTTATTTGTGTCAAATGTAGGTCACATCGTGTTTTCCTTCTCCCCCAAATCCTTCAAATAGTCTACCGTCTTACTCAGAGTAAAACTCAGTGTCCTTAAAACATCCCACAAGCCCCAGAATCCAAGTCTCTCCCACATTTCCAGCCATGGTCAGTCTTCTTGTTCTTTCTCCGTCTTCCCAGCGCACATCTGCTTCCAGCACTCTGCCTGGATGCTCTTACATACAGTGTGGCTTGCTCCCTCTATTTCTCAAGTCTGGTTTTCCACCTAACGCTGTATCATGTTAGAGAACCCTTCCTCAACCAGACTAGAAAAGCAATGTACCCTTCCCCCAAAGCATTTACTATCCCTCGACTGTTGAATTCTGTCCACGGCACTTATCATCTAGCCCGCACAAGCACATTGTTTACCCTTTTATCTCATTAGAATTTAACCTCTGTGAGACTGAAGACTTCTGTCTTTCTCTCTCATATCCGTTTCTACAACAATGCTTGACAAATAGAAAGCTCTTAATAAATATTAATCAAACGCATGAATACAGACATCCCTGAATCTGTCTGTGGACCCTATCCTTAAAAAGACACAAAGGTCTGAGATGGTCCTGGACAATAAAAATCTTTCAATTCCAAGATAAAATCATTTTCAGGAGTCTAAGAACTAATTTAAATTTAATTTGAAAATTGTATCCATTTTACAACCTTCCAGAACGGGAGTTACTTTCCTACCGAGAAGGCAAGCAGGCGCCATCTAGTGGTAACTAAAGAAGCCCACGTTTGTGTTACTTGAGTATTAAGAATTAAAATTCGTTCTTGATCCAGGAGCTTATGACAGTAATAATTAGGATAATCCATAAGTCTTCAAGTATGTGCTTTCCACAGAATACACTGAATCGGAAAATCATTTTTTTTTTCTAAATTATTTCTGACTCATATTCACTTACAACCTTTTGTTTTCTGGAATTTGACTTCTTTTTCTGCTTTTTTATTTTTCTTACTGTTTTGCACTCTACTTTCCTTTAAACTTTTACATGGGAAATAAAATGAAGGTTCTAACTTCTGGGGATTTATATTGTAATAAAAATGGCACCTGGGAGGGTAAATTTCGGAAAACCCCCCTGCTGAATGACAGAGTGATCTCCTCTGGCCGTGCTTCTTATGCCTGTTGAATCTTTATTGTTCCATTGGAAGAATGAACTTTGAAGAGACTTAGCGTGCTGTTTTGCATTCCCGGAAGCTGAGGTGGAGCTGGAAAGTCTTCACCTCCAGGGAAGCCTGAGCTTTGATCCCACAAGGGAAGGAAAGTGGTAAGGGTCCCGGAAGGAGGTGAACTCTGGTTGTTGATACTCCAGTTAGTGCCTGGCCTTTTGTCATGGAAGGAGGTGGTCTGAGTGGCACCAGGGATAACAGTTGGACAAAACAGATTTCATATTAACATAAAGAAACATTTTCCAGTGAGATTTTTTTTCTCCAAGTGGAAATGAAAGCCTCGATTCCCCATCAGTGGATGGGTCAAGCAGAAGCTGCGTGACGGCCTGACAGGGATTTGTTGAAATTATTGAGATTCTTTGCTTTTCTGAAGATTCTAATTTCTCCCTATATAGGTTCAAATCGTCCCCATACTTCATTGTTCAGTGCATGTCCCACTTCCTATTTTAGGCAGTGCAGCTTGAAGCCACCTCTCCCATCTCTCCCTTTCCTATAATTTTAAGCGCAGATCAGCACTTATTTCATACTGTCTGCCTGCCCTCCCCCTGCCCCCATATAATCTTGAGCTCAAGTTAGTGCTCAGCTACTTGAACAGAGGAAGCTGCGTCTTATAACTCCCTCCCCCTGGCCTTGCCCTGACACCTTCAAGGGTGAAGGTTCAAGTTTATGGAGGGGAATGTAGAGGCTACCAGTTGTGGTCTCCCCTGGGATCTTGGCCCAATTTGTTCAGCCTTAGTCTAAGTTTGGTGGAGCAGTTCTTCAGCTAGGTAGCAGAGAAAATGAAATATTTGTTTTGATTTGTTCCCTTGTTGGAACTATAATCAACATTTGTGTCTAACTATACTAGTTTTCCTTTTGAATTGTGTTATTTTTTCATTTCTCCAATATCTCTGGAGTCGGTATCATGTATAACGGTGGGATTTTTACTGGAATGAAAAAAAGAACCCTAGTTTTCTGTTATTTATGTAGTTGTTTTAGGGTTTTACTTTCTGCCAAGGTACTAATGTTTTTTAGATTGCAAATATTTTCCATGGTGTTTTTTTCTTGAGAAAGTGTCTAATTACACAAGCTGATGTATTTTGAATAACATGTTCTTAAGTCAAAATAGTATTTCTTCTTAAAGAATTAAGGAGATTTTATTTCTAAATTGTCTCACCTGCTGAAGGTGTATTTATGTGACTGTATTCTATCCTAATGAAAAGGTGATTTTGAAAAGAGAGATGCAAATGATTTGTGGGTAGGGTTTGCATGTACCCCAAATGTAATTTTTTTAAAAATCAGGTACTGTTGTTTGTTTTATTATTTAATCAGCCACAGTTCTTTTTAAATTATTTAATAGGCTGGAAGGTTTAAGAACTTCTTATAGTACTACCTAAAAATTAGCAAATTTATCATCGCTAGCACTTGCACCATTTAATATTTCTAGAGTGATTAGTAGTGATTCTCAGTAACTGATGTGTTCTCTCATATGATAGTTGAGGGACAACACTGGATACTTTGACTTGTGGTTAAAGAAATATTATGTCCCTATAATTATGGCACAAATTCACACATTTAAATTATGTTAATATATTTTTTGTGTGTGTTACCGGAGATCGAACTCAGGACCTTGTATTTTCGAGGCGGGCGCCATGCCACTGAGGTAAATTCCCAGCCCCTAGATTGTGTTAATTTGTGTTTTTCAGAGTATGCCGAATTTCTACATTGCAAAGGAAAAAAATTTACAGATTTTGATGAAGTTCGTCATGAGATTGAAGCAGAAACAGACCGAGTGACTGGAATGAATAAAGGCATTTCTTCTATACCCATTAATTTACGAGTTTATTCCCCCCATGGTAAGTAAAATATTAAAACTCCAAAGTCTTCTCTTCAAACATTTTTACTAGGTTAGTTAGCATACATCACTCATATATAGAAGTTACAAATAGTGCTGACTTTCCAGGATAATGTTTGGCTACTGCCATAAATGGCATTTTTGAGAGGGCTCTTAGAGTATTTAAGGAGAGACAAGAGGAGTTGACTTTTTAAAAAATCAGAATCCAGTTAGGCATTTAAAAACTTTTTTTTTTTAGTGAACTTTCAGAATTTGAAAGGGATATACATGAAAACTTCCATTTTTATTACCTTCAGTCTGCAGAAATCTTAGAATATGTGTTTTATGATTGAATCTTCTCTTGTTGATTTCCTGGCAGCCCTATATATTTCTACTTATTTTCTTCCTGAGGAATCAACTGTGATTTTTTTAAAAATTTAAAAATAACTTTATTCTCAAACACACACACATACAGAAATTAAAACCATTCAAAGAAGAACAATGCAAGGGAAAAAAACTTTAATAATATTCAAATACAGTAGAACTCAACCAAAACAAAACTGAAAAGCACTTAAACATTTTTCCATATAATTTAAAAAAAATCTTAACCACCAACAAGATACCAGAGGATGTGATTTGTTTCAGAAAGATCCCCAAAATCAACATTGAACAAATAGTGGTCTGGAAAAAAACTCCAGTTAGCTAGCAGACTCCACATAGGCCAGACTTCTCCCTAATTTAAATTTTGATACAGTCATATGACATGCGATGGAAACACAATCCGAGAACTATGTTATTAGGCCATTTCATCCGTGTGTATCCTTATTTACACTTTCAGTTTCTCACATTAGAGAAACTATTCAGTATTTACACATGTGTGTCCTATTTATTTCACTTAAGAGGATGGCCTCAATGTGCATCCATTTAGCTATAAATGTGTCTAGTTTCTCTTTCTTAATGGCTGAGTAGTACCCCATTTTATAAAAAAACCACATCTTCTTTATCCAGTCGCCAGGTGATGGGCACTTGGGTTGTTCCTAAGCTTTAGCTATTACAAACTGGGCAGCTATAAACATGGGTGCACATATATCACTGTAGTATGATTCTTTTAATTCTTTGGGGAAGATCCCCAGCAGGGGCATAGCTGGGTCGAATGAGACCTCTAAGCCTAGTTCTTTGAGGTATCTCCATACTGATTTCCACAGTGGTTGCACCAGTCTACACTCCCACCAACAGTGGAAAAGGGTTCCTTTCTCCCCCACACCCCCTCCAGCATTTGTTTTGTTTTTGAGACTGGGTCTCAAAATGTAATTCAGGCTGACCTTGAACTCATTATGTAGCCCGGGGTGTCATCAAACATGTGGCAGTCCTACCTCAGCCTCCCCAGTGCTGGGATTACAGGCATGTACCATCATGCCTGAAAAAATTGTAATTTTTATCCCTACACTATGCACAGAAACCTATAAATTAGATCACCAGTTCATGATATATGATAAGAAAGAACTTATTCTCACTAAACTTTTAGTGGGTCAGCTCTTCATTTCTAGTTCTTGGCCCAGCTCTTTGCTTTAAGAACAGAGCATGAGTGACATAAGCTCAGTGATGAGGCCCCATTGGTGCCATCAGTGAGCGGATGACAGCCAGGCTGTCACTGCCTTCGCCTGTACAGCCTGCTCACCACCACCTTCAGGGCCACACAGATGGCTAATAGCTTTCCTGTAGGCTAAGTGGTTAACCTGCTATAAAGAACATAGTGTTTTCAAAGGAAGGCCAAATCTTACCTTGTGAGTTTTTATACTATTTGAAGGTAATGTACAAAACTGGCAGACAGCACATGCATTTATTGTTTGGTGTTTTAATTATAACCCACTAGTTATGACAGCTAGGATATGACAGCTCTCTGAGGAAACGGTTAGGCATGCAAATCAGTGCCTTTCAAATTATGTTAAAATGATCACTTGGCATAGCACAATCATATAAGAATAGAGAACACCAGCAAAACCATTCTGTATCCTGTGGTTTTTATTCTACACACTTGGGTTGGAGTCATTTAGATGCACAGTACATAAAGCTAAGCTAAGTGACAGGTGAATGTGCATGTCCTTCAGCATTGAAGATGTATGTAAGACTCTTTTACTCCTTTCCACACAGTGCTAAATCTAACCCTTATTGACCTACCTGGAATAACTAAAGTGCCCGTGGGAGATCAGCCACCAGATATTGAGTATCAGATCAGAGAAATGATCATGCAATTCATCACAAGGGAGAACTGTCTGATTTTAGCTGTTACCCCAGCCAACACTGATCTCGCAAACTCAGATGCACTGAAGCTAGCTAAAGAAGTCGACCCTCAAGGTGAGTGTGTAAGTGTGTGGCCTTTAAGATGACAGGGAATTATTGTGAAATGTCTAAGGCTTTAGTATATGTAAAGGTAACACAAATGCTCACGTCTTGATTTCATTATTAACAAAATTCAATGTAATTGTTGGTAAACATTCTGTATTTAAGACACTGAAAGAAAAATAATTAGGGGATATAGTTAAAATCTGTATAAATAAATGTAAGATTAAGAAATGCAAAAGATCTAAGAAAATAGAAATTTCTAAGCCTCATGGCCTAATTATTGTACAAAGTCAATAAAAGAAAGTTCTAGTCCCGCAGAAGTCAGTCGAATTAGTCTAGTTGTTATGAGTCACCTGAATATACTCTCAAAGCAGAGGCTTTCTGAGGTTTGTTTGCTTCTTTAAAGTAGAATGCTTCTTCATGCATGTAAGGTATGATGGAGGAATTGCTCCTTTGAGAAATCATTCAGTGTTGTCTCTGTGGTGAGGCTCTGCTGGGCCTCCTCATTCTAAGTCTCTAACCAGCACCTGACCTGAGGCCTGAAACACATCACACCAAGCCAAGGACAATCTTTCCTCTGACCCCGGACCCAACCCTCTGAAGGGCTTTTCACTTACAGTTAATTTAGCAATTTACAGGTGAACCTTCTTTATTTTCACATTATTAAAATAGTTGAAATGAGTCTATTACAATTTTAGCTTTTAAGTGTTATGAAGGCTTAGGCCAGGGCATGGTGGCTCATGCCTGTAATCCCAGCACTGGAGAGGCTGAGGCAGGAGGATCGCCATGAGTTCAAGGCCAGCCTGGGCTACACAGTGAATTCAAGACCAGCCTGAACTGCATAGTGAGACCCTATCTCAAAAAACCAAACCAAAGCACATCAAATCAAACCAAAACTAACCAACTAAACAAACAAAAAGCACTATCCATATTGATGTGGGTGGGAGTTTGGATTATGCAATGTTACTGATTATTTTAAACACATGTTTACTAAAATATGAGTTCTATATAATAAATAAAACACAACCTGATAGGGTTGCCTTTGGATCTTTTTGAGAGGAAAATAATTGCCAGCATTTGGTTAGCCATTTAGACTTAGAGTTATCTTTACTATTATTTTTATAATAATTAATCTTATTTAATTATCATAGTAACCTTTTGAGATAAGGTTTATTATAATTTTATTTAATTTTAGAGATTAGATATTAAAGCTTATAAACATTGATGTACAACCAGGTTATGAAAGATCTGCCTCCCAATCCTGTGTTCTTTTATCTACATTGTCTAATAAGGCTGTTGCTGCAGGGTAGTCTGATAAAGTAGAAAGAGCAGTAGGTGATGATGCGCTTCATAAACACACTGTGTGCTTGCAGGATTGTTACCTGACCACTGTGTATATCACCAGGAAAAACTTTCTCACCCTAACCAACCTCCTAAAGCCTAAGTATGTAAGAGCACTTTGAAAAGACCAGCATACAGAAAAAAAATAAAACACTACATAATTCTGATGACTGTCAGATAGTATAGCCATTCCCCTTAAAGCTTTGCTTAGCATCCTCATTTACTTGGCAAAAACAGCTCTCACAGATGATGCAAAAAAAGCTTGAATTTTGTCTAGCCACAAGTCTGTAACATTCTACGTACACTAAGAGAATTATTTCATCATGATACTTATTTAATATAATCTATTAATATATCCCAGTATTATAGCATTAGTTATTTTACAGAGGCTTTTATTTTGAATATAATTATGTGCAAAATTCATAATTTGCTTATAAACATACATTTTTCCCCAAGAATATGAGATGTGATAAAAAATACGTGAATGTGTAAATTGAAATATTATTACAGCAAAAGATACATTCTCATTAATCCTCTCAAAAACACCTCCTCACTTTGAACATACTTGTCCCAAGTATTCTTGTCACTTTCTGAAGCAGCTCTGGAAGTCCTCTTTCATGAGTGTCTGCTTGCACTGTCTGGGCTGCCTCCATGTTGAAACAGTTGTCTTCGGTTATAATATGACTTTAGGAGCCAAAAGTTTCATGGTGCCAGACCTATGGAATAAGGTGTATGAGGATACACTGTATTGTTTTTATGAGCCTTCTTTTCCATTGCATGGCACTTGGCAGCAGCATTCACCGTATTTCTGGTCACACCTCGTAAAGACACTTATGAAGGAGGACCTCTAGTACTGCTTCCAAAAGTGGCAAGAATTATGGGATAAATATGTTCAAAGTGCAGGGGAATATTTTGATGGGAGTTGATGGTAATCTTGTCTTTTACTGTAATACATTTAAAAAAATTAAACATTTTTTATCAGCCCTTGTATATTCAAATATACTCAAATCCTGCTTAGGTGAAAATGGCCTGCCTATGTCAAAAAGGCTTAATTTAGGACAAACTAGTAGCTACTACCTAAAATGCACTACCTCTCAAAAACCTGTATAAATATATACACTCGTGGATAAGATTCTAATTCAGACACACTTGAATAAAGAATGATCCACTGTGATTTAAATTAGTCATCCACTTTAGACAAGGCCAGCATGTCAGGGAAAATGAACATGACCTGGTGACACTGAACAGGCCACTTGCATAGCCAGCCAAATCAGTCCTGAAGAGCAACAGGACAGCAGATGGCAAGGCCAGACTCTCCTCACTGTCTCATTTGGATATAGATGAGGTTAGCTGTAGATTGATTAGTAGGGAAACAGCTTTTTATCATGCTGAGTTTATTTATGGTGGCTTAATATCCACCTATCCTGACAGGTTTCAATGGTCATGTAATAAAGATACTATGTTTTCACTTCTGTTCAATACGGCTAGCATCTCTGTGTTTTACAGATACTATACCTTAGCTGAGTTCATCGTAAGGAAACACAGTTTCTGTGTGGAAAGCAGGGCAGTCAGTGGTGGTCCTGATTTATTACTTGAGCAATGAGTTCATTACCGAGGAAGACTGTCACTGTGTCTTTTATCTTTGGGTCACAGCAGTATTTTAGTATTACCCATCAAGCTTGTCATCTGTAATAGAGGACTGTTCAAAGGGCTCACTAGGGAGGCAAGTGTGTCTGGAAATTCCTTTCATGGTGATTTATCTTACAGCAAATGAATTTCATTTTAAAATCTAACATGACCAGAGGCCTTCCTGGAGTATGAAATCATGCCAAGAGAAATGTTAGACCTCTTGCTGGAAAGAGGGCATCGTTTTCTCTTTAGGTGACATTTGTGAATTGGGGTAGAATTGACCATGAAGCTGGCAGCTGACTTCAGTTGTTTTATGCAGATGTGTCCCTGCCTATTTTCTCAAGCTTTTGCTTTTTGATGTCTTCCTCTTTAATCTGAATGAAGTTGAAGTCTCTGCGTGATGTAAACTGATAGTCATTGACCTTTGGCGATGCTTAGCAGTCATCCACTGTTTCATCTTGCCATGGAGAGGCTGGGAGTGCTGCTAAGCTGAGGAGAAACTTCCAACATTCATGCCTTTAGTCAGCACTCAGAATGGAATGAATATTTTTATAAACTGCAAACATCAGAAGCAATAACAGAGAAGACCTGTATTTTAGCTTCTGTAATCTATTCTTTGCCCCTAATTTGATTCCTATTTTTACTTTGAAGTTTCTAGCATAAGTATTTGAGCCAGTTAAGAAAATTGATGGATGTTAAATAAATGTATTGACAAGCTATATCAATTAATTTTATTGATTTTAATTGAATCAGTTAACATGTATAAAGATATCTTATTCTTTAAGGGGAAATAATGTGTATCTCATAGAAGTCATGTTTTGACTTCTTATTTTTTTGGTTGTTTTACTAGGGATAGAATTCAGGGCTTTCAATCTGAACTACAACCTCAGCTTTTTAAAATTTAACTTTTTTATTGTGGGGTGGAATCTCACTACATCTCTAAATTGCCCAGGCTAGGTTGAAACTTGGAGTTCTCCTGCCTCAGCTTCTCAGAATGCTGGGATTTTGGGCATGGGCCACCATGCCTGGCTTTACTTCTTAGGTGTCATTTTTTTTTTTTTTTTTTTAGCATGAGTGAAACCTATACAATATTTTTTTTTGTCTTTTTCAAATAGAGAAAGTTCTGAGAATGAGGGCTAAAACCAACATATCTGTGGTCTTTGAAAAAATTGTTTCTGATTGGTGTGGTTCAATTCATCACTTTTTTCTTTGAAAATTTTTTATTAATATATGTTTGCTACTTGTCTTGGGGAGTTGATACATGTGCATAGTGTATCTTGATCCTTTTTAAATTCTTAATCATTTTTCCCCTTCTCCTTCCCTCTCTCTCCTCCTCTTCCATCTCTAGATTCCCTTACCACTTGCAAAAGGTCTAGTACCCTATTTCTTCTCATCTATCTTTTATATTGCTGTTTTCAGTGCATCACTCTTTTAAACTGAGCATTTACTATGTACGAGGCTAAAACAAGGAAAAAGTTAGATGCCTGCTCTAAAGAAAGCAAGGGCCACAAATATATATGCTCTTATAATCCTGTGTGATCAGAACTTTTATAGGCAGTATATGGAGTCTATCATCTTAATATTCTACTCCAAAGTCTGAGAATCATGAACACTTCAAATGCATGTTGTTATTTTGCATTGTATACACTTGCATTTTTTATTATGCTTCATTAGTATGTGTTTGCAATAAATAATTATATTCATCTTGGGGAATTGGTACATACACATATTGCATTTGTTTTAGTTATTTTTCCTATTGCTGAGACAAAATACCTGATACTCAAAATTAAAGGAAGAAAGGTTTACTGTAGCTCAGAGTTTGTAGAGGTTTCAGTTCATAGTTTGTTGGCTCCAAGGCAGGGTGGCATGGCAGAGGGACATTGTAGAGGAGAAACATTTCATGGCAGGCAGAAGGCAGCAAAGCAACAAAGTAGTGAAGCAGCAGCAGCAGGCCTGCCTTCTTTCTGTCCTTTTATATTCATCCAGGCTACCTGCCCTTTGGGTGGTGCCATCCACACACATGGTGGGCCTTCCCATTATCC